TGATGCAAGAGCGCTTTGGAAGGAATACGTGATGGGATGAGGAGAGGGCGAGCAGACAGACCTGTAATAGGCTTTCGCTCACAATTTTCTCGAAATAACTTTTCGAATATTGACAGAAGGTTTTCTAAACGCTTGCTTTCCTTCCCATTAATTAGTCCTTTATTTCGTGGGCAATTTCTGTCGACTCAGAATCTCACATCCCACTGGTCATAAGCCAGCGCAAGCCTGCGGAGCTCTGTTGATCTTCTTATTTCTGTCAACTTTTGCTGAAATCCGCTCGTTTATCATTCTCGCCCAATGACCTCCACCGTTGCGCTCGGACCAAGCGGGGATTGTGCCAGTCACCCACCAATGCCTTCTCTTCTTGGGCCGCCGTAGTTCCCGAGCAGCCCGGAGGTTACTTGTGAGCCAAGGCGCGGAATCTGCAGCTGATGAAAGCAGGATGGCTGCAGCAAGAGTTTGATTCTCACCCCCTCCCAACCCCCAATTCACAGCATTGGAATCGTCGGCGCAGGCCGAGAGCACCGCATCATAATGAATCCAAATTTGAGTCGACCACAACAAACATTGAGAATGCATGGGTTGGGTAGCTTTGGGATCCATTGCGAAGCTTTTGGGCCTTCCATCGGACATTATTCTTCAGGCGATACAAAATGAAATGCTGATGGGAGTCTCTAAGTGCTTTGGAAATTAAGGTTTAGCAGTGCGAGTGGGTACTTATCATAAAGCTAATGCTGTGATGTAAAATACACACTGGGCGTGTCAGGTGCGCAAATTAATTCCATCACATCTAGTCGACCAAATTGGGCCAAATTGCCGATACTTTCTGGGCCACTCAAAATAGGCTCTGGTGTTTTTCAATTTATGATCCTGACAATGCGTGGTTTTATGACTCACGAAATATGTCAGGGCTTGATTAAAACCGTTAATAAAAACACAAGTCGCTGTTACTCGCTTGCAAGGCGGGGCCGCCTCATTCTCACGGCCGTTTATCGGCCTGCAATGACATAAATTCATTACTTAGCTGGACTTTTTTTGCCTCCGCAGGCGGACTTTTACGGTGAAGCAACACATCAAATACAAGGACCGATTAACGCACATGCAACCGTTCACCTACCCCATTCACGCAATGATCCACACTCCTACGTCTACATCTCTAGCCAGTGGAGTACTTGACGGATTGGCTAAATCCGCAGGTTGTGCATATATCTGCGGCTCAGTCGAGGTTGGATCACAGAGGTGGAACCTCGCTGAGTTCCGTCATGCCAGGGCTCTGGATAGAACACTATGTCTCTTTCGGCGCCATTTTGGGTGTCTTAGGGCGGCATGCACATGAAAGTAAGGCAATGACTTTGGTTACAATTGACAGCATTCCACGCACAAAAATGTTGCTGCCAAGAGCGTTTCGCTATTTTCCTCTGCTCATGTGGGATGATTATCATCTCCTTTCCATCCCAAGTACCCCCCAAGCCATTTTGTTCGTAATCCAGCCGGGTGAAAATAAAGACGAAACATATTTCTTGGCACGAGACGAACATGGCGACGCTCAGTTTAAGCTTGCAATACTTATAGGTTAGCTGCCAGGTCAAGTCAAAGGTAAAAAAATCAGAAAATCTCGCCGATCTGTGGCATAAAAACACAGCGTGATGCAACAATTAAGCGCCTAGCTTACGGAGTTCATCAGATACAACAGATAGATACAACAGAACAGATACAACATACAACAACAGAAGTCAGCATCACCAGCTATGTGAAGCGTCCGGTGTGAAAACCGTAAAGTGTGTCACGCAATGCATCATACAAGGACAAGCAGTGCAGGAGCCTTAATCTCACAGCGTTGCCAATGTGGAGCCATCTTAGCCATTCCGCGCGCTGCGCAGGCATGAGTGGATGACAATGATCATACCTAGCTATTATTTGCTATCAGCTAATTATTAGTTAGTTCGGGAAAAATCACGCCACGCCTGGCATGAAAATTGACTGTAGGGCTCACCCGCCCAACTCCATGCGTTTTTTTTCTCGCTAGCTCACGTGCATTCACGAGAGCTAGTGCAAATGACACATGAGTTCGTTCGTAGCTTCATGTAAGCTGCATTACATTTAGCCAGCAGTGCAATCGATGAGGAAACGTCATTTGACACCAGTAATTATCATTTGCAGTCAACAAAATCCAGCGATTCAAGCACTTACAAATACAAATTAGGAACGGTCAAACCCAGTTGAGTGCCTGCTGCTGAAAATGGGCCAACTCTAGCCAAAAGTTTTACATTTTTCTGATCTGGTCACAAAATGTCATTCTGGTAAACCTGAAACAGAAACCACCAGAAAGCATGCACACCAGACGTAAGTCTCCGGCTCATCCAACTATTAACATTTGTGCGTAGTTGTTATTTTCCAGCCAATAACAGCAATATGGGAGCAGCAAATTCAATTAACGTTATTTGTTAACAAATTCAATTAACATTATTAATTAACGAACTGTAGTAACAATTTAGGGTATTGGCGTTGCCCCACAGCGCATTAGATGCCGACCATTTATGCCACGTTAAAGGATGTTTGTCGGACGCAGAGTGTACAGATGGGGAACACAAAGATATCCCACTGACGGACATAGTTGAACCCTATAGGGTTTGAGGTTTTTAACATGATCACTTTTTGTTTATGCCTATGATCCATATGGTGGCTCTGGGAAAAGCTGGTGCGCTACAGGCAGACGCTTGGTCTGTGAGCCGCTTTCACCCTCTTCCTCAGCGGCTTGCCGGGGAAGGGTGGGGGAAATGGCCAACACCACATACGGCTCCCATATCGGCGCAGATGATGTACAAGACTATCATATCACGCAATCTTACCAGCTCTCCGAGAGCTGCGTTGAAGTGTAGGAAGCCGCGATACACCATTTCGATCAATTGAGTTTTTTCTGCCAGTATTTTCTCTTCACACAATAGTAATGCCGCAAAGTCTAAGCTTTAGCGTAGGGCCGTAGAGAGAGAGAGAGAGAGAGAGAGAGAGAGAGAGAGAGAGAGAGAGAGAGAGAGAGAGAGAGAGAGAGAGAGAGAGAGAGAGAGAGAGAGAGAGAGAGAGAGAGAGAGGCACTGCACTACCGTATACCACGATGACAGTGTTTATTCCACTATTCATTCGTGTCCATGAGCACGGATTGAATATCGAGTTTTGATAATAGTACCAATGCTTGCTTGATAACGTCGTATGACATGTGCCTACTGTTAGAATGAAGGCTGGTTATTGTTAGCAGAATAACTCACATTCTCAAAATGCCGAACACAGGACGTCAAAGGCCTTTCCAGCTCACATGAAATGTTTATACGTAGCATTATCGCCGCGAACAATGGGCAAAAAATGATATGATTTCTTTTCTTGTATTTAACAGGGTCGAAAATCTGCTTTGCGTTACACCCGTCGCACAAATCTAATTTCTAGGATGGCTCCAATCCTCTCACACAACTTGGCGCCGCGAAAGACAAAATCTGTCCCATCCACTTGTTTTCTCAAATTGCGTCGAAAGCACACTCGCCGTGTGAACAGTGTTTTGTGCATACTCTAATAAAAGAATGATGAGTCGGTAACCGCACACAACCATCAAATCGGCCAGTTACTTCTTGAGTTATAGCCTGGTAGTCAGGATGCCCGACTGCCCTCGATCGCCGCCCGGCCGCGTCGACCAATGAGATCTCGCTACGTAGTAGTGCTGCAACCGAACGGAGGTATGCGCTCGCTGACCAATGTCTATAACTCATGCTATTTTAAGAAAAGCGTGTATGATTAGACAGCTCTCTGACATAATTCGACCCTGCATTCCACCGCATCAAGTCATGACCAATCCACTGGAGGCTGGCGCCGCTATTCAGGGAGGGACAAGAGGTAACCACAGCGAGGCCAGAATCGAAAACATTCCGCGCGTCTCTGACTTCCGGCGTATGCGTGGGCATCTGGTAAGCTCCCTGTTGTCGGAGTGAGCGTATCAGAAATTTGCACAGTCGATTAATCCAGGTCACATTACATTTATTACATCATTGGCCAGGGTTTTTAGCATGACGTTTTTTGATCCCGAGTCTCGGTGGTTCCATCATAATCATGCAGCAATGCGCGTGCGTCCTGCGACGCTTTGCTACTGTTGAGGGTTGGCCTCGTGAACACACTGATGTCCTTGATGTGGAAAAGCTTGCAAGCGATTGCAGACCGACAGAGGTTTTCTATCTGTCACCTCGTTTGATCATAAGTCAGTTAGCTTCTGACTTCCATGGCCAGGACTTTATTGCAACAAATAATCATCCTGGCCACATTCTATAAATATGTAGGCAGGTCAGCATTACTAGAAGCACAGAGAGCAAGGGGACAAACTGCATCCCCTACTCTTTTCCAGGCATGACCATCTTTAGGGGCCCTTAAAGGGGCCTGGTAAGCAACGTTTGGGAAAAAAGACATCTTAATCGAGACATTCCAGACTTCATAATACGCCAAACGCCGCTTTCACAAAACGAAGGACTGCACTTCTATGTTCAAAAGCAGTTTATCTCCACTTCGTGTTGATACACTTCTGCTGTATCGTAACGAACGTGCGCACATCGACGAGCATAGGTGCAAATCCTGCACATAGCCTGGTCGATGCGGCCGACAAACATGGAGTCACGCATCCCCACTGCCGCCATGCTCGATACCTCCCCCGGCCGGTGGCGTGGGAGAGGCACCCTCGGCGCTAGCTCCACTAATCTTCACCGCACGCAGCTGGCAACAGGTCCCTTTGCCGTCCCCGGAGCCGGAGCCTGGCAGTGGGTTAGCGCCGGTCTCGGCCCTCCCCGCCTGGCCACCGGTGCTCACGGCAGACCGAGCCGTCGCTGCCGCCGGGGCCGCGCCGTCCAGTGTGCAGCGGCGCCGGGCCTTACCTGCTGGCGCGCGGTCGCACGGCTTATTGAGTTGCTGCGCGCGCGACCGGCGGCGGCGGCGGCGGCGGCAGCCGGGGCCAGTCGCGCCGTCGCCCCGCCGCAGTCGGCCGCGCCCCGCTCCGCCGGCATGCGCTGACCTGTTGCTCCCTGGCCCCGGACATGGCGGCCGCCTCGGCCGGACGCCGGCCGCAGCTGCTCTGGATCGGCCTGCTGGCCCTGCTGCCGCCAGGTGAGCCGCGCCCAGGCTGGCGGCGTCTCCGGTCCGCCGGCGAGGGCCCGGCGAGGCCCAGTCCGGCCCATCAGGTGCCGAGCACAGCGCTGGAGACGCGACGTGTCCAGTGGACGCGGCGCAGCATTAAGAGCTGTCGCTTGACTGCTGACGTCTGGTACACTGCGGCGGTGTCAACAGGCACTGAATACGTGGTAGTTCAGTATGCTGGAACCCATGTAGGCCATGGTCTAATCCGTTAACGCCGTCAAGTCATGCCGTGGCGTGTTGGAGCATAGTTCGTAATGGTTCACGCTCCTGAAGCTCACGCTGCAAAGTTCACCGGTCTGTTTATTGTTTCATCTGCATGTGTTCGGCGCTCAAGCGTGTCCTCGTCAGCGACAGTTGAGCAGCTAATAAGGAGATGATGTGACCCAAGGCCTCAAGCGCGGTACGCACCACAGCGGAGCACAGCTGATCGCGTTGAGTTTAAAGTCACAGTCGTTCCACTCAATGAATGACATCTAAGCGTTTGTTGCAATGGTTGGAACCTATTATCGTTATTGCACGTAAACTACTATGCAACTGCGATTTACGTCCGTGGCCATAACTTTCCCGTTATTACGGCCGAATTACTGACCTGATTTGCTTTCATAACGATTTATTACCGGGCTAATGTGAGCTCGTTGCTGATTACTGGGTGCATGCGCTACGTGACGAATGTTTGCGTTTCAATATTCACCATTCAGCAGGCCAGTGAGCATATGCGTGTTTGTCAGGTGTGGGTCTGAGCTTGGAAAATCGAATCCGAGTCCGGGGCTTGGTGCCTTGAGTCGGAGTCCGAACGCCGGGCTTACCAGAGACAACCTGCGTGGTTTGAGTCCCAGTCGAATCCCAGCCCGGCTCATGAAGCTGAGTCCGAATCACTATTCGATAAAACGTTTGGCACGAGTCCATTAGTTTCTTATCGCACGAAAAAGTTTTCAAACCAGCTTGTCGGGGATGGAGATTGCCAACAGCAAAATGCGTAGCAGAGCTTATAGGTAATCCGATCTGACGTCGCCTGAACCTAACCCGGCCTGAGGGGTAATCCGATTTGACGTCACCTGAACCTAGCCTGGCCTGAGGGGCAATCCGACCTGATGTCGCCTGAACCTAGCCTGGCCTGAGGGGTAATCCGATCTGACCTCACCGCAGCCTACCCTATCCTACCCTGACACATTCGTGAGTTGTCGTTGGATAATGCTGCTGATGCCGGGTCGTAGTTAACCCAACCCATACTGCCTCAACAGAAGGCATTTATTGAGCACAGCCAAAACCAGCCGAAAGTTACCAGGTTCAACTAGCTAATTTCATCCCATTGCGCACCGCAACACCCACTCATATTTTTGTCATAACATCGCACTCTTCAGGCAGGTATGAGACTAGCATGATAATAAACTATTGGACCAAGCTACATGCTTCTAGAGTCTTCGAATAAAAGTAAGATTTACGTCTACTCAGACTAGCACCTGAGTCCGAGCCCGAGTCCTACTCATCTGTACAGCTAAATTGATTCACCCGAGTGCAAGAAACCCGCTAGATCATGAGTTCGGAGTCAAGTCCGCCTCTGACTGAGATAAGACACGCCCTCACATCAAGGGGAATTTTGTGGGAGTATACTCCATTCTCAGCTCTTGTTACCTCCTTTCCTATTTATGAGTGTGATTAGGATGGTGGTGGAACAGAGAATCAGAACAAACGCCGGAAGTAGAGTAGCACTTTTTCAGATCATCTGAAGGATCCTCTCAAGCTCCACCCACCCGTATTCAACGGAGTCCAATCGCGCGTTTGCCCACTCTTCGTAGCCTTTCACATTCCGGGGACATAAGGCCAATTGAAGCCAAATGGTGCTACCATTTTCTCCCAACAGGTGACGGTTAAATATTTAGGGACATTCCATCATCTACCATAAATCTACCATCACCTACCTTGATCTTGTATTATGCAATCCCCATGTGCAACGATGGAATCGATGAGCGGTAAAGCTTTAGCCACCAGAATTACTACGAAAATGTTTTTAAGGCTTGCTGTGACGTAGACTTGATATGCAAGGTCCCTCATGCTGTCACTGATGGGCTTAGATCATGTTGGTTCATGCTTTATTTCAAGTGGCCTAATTCTGCGTCGGATACAAGGATAAAACTAACGTCATATTAACATCATAAGGTCTTGCGGATGGTCACGAGCATTGACAGCATTCATTATACAACAACGTGACGCATTCACAACTAATTGCGATAAATCTTTCAATAGTCCATTGAAGTTTGCGACATGGTGATTTTGTATCTCCTCACTGACAAGGTTTTGCAAACGAATCGCCGATTTGAAAGGTGAGCTCGACAGAAAGTTGAAATGATATCCCTCAGCTCAGATGCAGAGCATTTTAAAATAGTTCAAAATCATGCAATTTTTTCGATTCCCTAAACGATGCATGAGGTACTTCCGTAAAACTGGAGGAAGAAAGTGGACCAACCTCGATCGAGAAGCTGCTTAAAAGGTATTCAGCTGTAGCAAATAGCTGCCTCGCTGAGTTTGTACAAATACCTCGGAACTCTTTTGAAGCCGCCGATGCAGTGAAATTTGAGGAAATCGAACTGCGATCTGATATTCATGCCAGTGCAATGTCAGGTCTTTAGAAGAATCAGAAAGCGGCGCTTTGGTGGTTTTTCGACGCATTATTCACATCGGCTTGAAGTTCTTGTAAATTAGCTACTGCGGAATGCTTGTTAAAATTTTGCTTCGATTACGTTTAGGCTTACAAGCTGCTCAAAACTGTGTTGCCGAGGTGCTCGAAAAAGTAATTCTAAAGTCTACAGCATGCAACGAATTTGTCCATCAGCCTTATCGCCAGGTACTGCAACCGACCTGGATGGAGACCACCACTGGGCTGGGTGTAAGTTTCGCCTCTGGTCCCCTCACAATGGAGATCGGTGCCGTCTTGAGCTGAGTTCGTCATTTCTGCACGACGCCAACAGCGAATGAGAAGCGCACCGTTGTGACGTCACCTTATGTGCCACCTCATATGCCCCTGCGCGTGTCAACTCGAATCCATTGTATTGCATTGCACTCTTTTAACTGTCAGCTGCCGGGCCTTTATTGCCTTCACTCCACGAAAGGGCTCGAGGGTCCTTTGGATCTCAGAAAATAAGCAAGCTAGACCAACGGATAGCACTGGACTGCAAAGAACTGGTCGAATTGTGTGAAACAGTTGTGACAAAACTACGCTTTATATGGCCTTTGACCGGTCAAATTACGTCAGAAGTGTCAAATTAGCATTTTATAGGTCTCTTTTGCTGTCTCAAGACCTGAACGCACCACATGTGGAAAGCAGCATTAAGCATTCCATTGAAATATCTCTACATGATAGGCACTACTGGAAATCGGCGGGTTTGACGCGTGATATGGCATGCCAGGTTAAAGCGGTTGACGACTATACTTGCATTAACTCGTTCGTCTACATCAGAGATAAACAAGCTTCGTCGATGGGAAAAACAGCGTTTGAAAGTCCTTTCAGTCTGTAAGATATATTCATTAGCGTTTTAATCGCATGACTTTTAAAGGGCCGCCTCTAGTCGAAAGAAATAAAAGGTTGATCTAGCTTGACCCTGGATGATTTGGTTCTGCAAAAGCAATAACTCATACGAAAAATGTTAACGAATTTCTCTGAGAAAGCGTCAATGAACCGTCACTTTATCATTATGGACCGTCAATGCCAGAAACTTTAAATGTCACGTGTGTGAAGATGACGTTAACTCAGTTACCAAAAAATTAGCAACGCTCAAAACCGTTGAAAGTCCTTCCAGAAGAGCTTTGTGGAGCTTTTGAGACCACTTTCTTGTAAGGAAAAAATTAAGTCTGAAAATTGAATGCGATTGAATCAGAACTTTGACGAATATCCCTCCATAACGGGCGCGGGATGGGTTCGACGCCAAAAGTTGTTCCGTTGACTTCATTAAGTCGTGTAGATGAAGCCGCACACCGAGGAACCCTCTGGAGAGGAGTGAAGGTGGATGGGTCGCTGGCGACCATGCATGCTCGGCGTCCTCCCCAGCTATGGTGGGGTTAGATGGAATGCTGAGCGACTTTGCATGCCATGCATAGTCGCCCAGCGTTATGGCCGGTTATGAAAGTCCTTCCAATCAACAGCGTCCTCCCCAGCCTTCCAATCAACAGCGTCCTCCCCAGTTTAATGATGGTGGATGAATCGCTGGACGGCTATGCATGCTCCGCGTCCTCCTCAGCAATTTTGTAGGTTTGCCATATTGATCCAAGTGTCGGACTACGTTGCAAGAGCACTAAGGTTGCCAGTATAGTTGAACTAGTTAGCATTCGAGACACCTGGAAATAAGATAGCGTGCGGATTCCACGATTTAGCTAGATTTTACTGACTGTTGCTACAAATAATTGGCTTGGGTCAGAGCAACCGTGCGGCTTGGAGCTCGTAAGTTTTTGGACTCGAAACATTTTCTCAGATTTTCCAAACAATTTTAGAAGTACATAATAGCATTTAATGCATTACCCGTTTCTGAAAACAACAATACCTATTGCGGTTCTCACGTTCCGAGCCTTTTTCTTTGGGTAATGTTCAATTTGTGTCAAAAGAAAATGGAGCCAGGCTGCTGTTACCGACAGTCCATGCCAAACCGCCACCACATGTTATCCTTGTTCCTGGTATTATAATACAGCAGTTTTCTGGTCTCTAATGTGACAAGATAAAAATATATTTATCACTCCTGTTTCCTATATCAAGATAAAAAAACTGCAATACATCCTATCACAGACACAGCTCTGATGATGCCAGTGAGAGACACACAAAACAAACGGAGACACACACAGACTTCCCTAGAACCTGCGTCCAAAAAAAGATAGCAGCAACTTAAAGGGCCATGCTTCTGACATTTGGAAAAAGCACATCTGGTATTTGGTCGAGAGTATCTGATGGCAGAGATCAGCAGCGCAGATCAGTAGAAACGCTACAT